AGACCACCTTTTTAAAGGTTAGTGCTTCTGTACTGCAGAAAGGAAATAGCCCATTCTCCTGGTGTCATTGGGACAACCCTGTCATCACCTCCCACTTCTCTCTGTACCAATCCCAGCTCAGGGGTCCTCTAATGTGGGCAATTGTGCTCATTTAGAATTCTTGAGGGGCTGGAGGGATAGCTCAGCCGTTAAAGGCTAGGCTCACAACCAAAAATATAAGAGTTCGGTTCCCAGCACCCACGGCTATCCCTCCGGCTATTTTTTTTTAGGGGCTGGAGAGATGGCTCAGAGGTTAAGAGCACTGATTGTTCTTCCAGAGGTCCTGAGTTCAATTCCCAGCAACCACATGGTGGCTCACAACCATCAATAGTGAGATCTGGCCCCCTCTTCTGAATACATAGAATTCTTGAGTTATTACCAGGACCAGGCCATATATTCCAAAGACTGGCCTACCACATTTCACATGGTTCCCAGCCAATAGTATTGGTGGTTTAGCCTCAAATATAGGCCTACATAACTGACATTATGGAAGCCTCTTCTCTGGAATCCATGCACTACTTGTCACCTGAACCCACTTAGGTTCCTGATGGCTGAATCACTAAATGGCTCCCCCCACAGGCAGACATCATTCCCTGTGAGAACAAAGGGTACATCTACAACACCCACTACATAAGTAGCACGCTGTACCATTGTTTTACATTCTCTGAGGTTTTTCATCCTTTCCAGGACAAAGAGTATATGTTCATCACTCCCAGTCACCCCCCACACTGAATTCTAGACTTTGCAGTTGTGCCATGTGTCAAAGTTATTTCCTCTCCTACTCATTCTCTCATTTATGATAATAGCACAGCCAGATGCCTAGGGCTACTGTACTTGGGAGAGGTGGGCTTGAAGGATTCCCTAACCTTAATCTTGGTTGGTTCACTAATATCCTGAGTAAGGTAGTTGTCTTATTTAGGGTAACTATTGCTATGCTGAAATGCCATTGACTGAAACAACTTGAGGAAGAAAGGTTTATCTGACTTCCACTTCCACATCACAGCTCATCACTGAAGGAAGTCAGGACAGGAACTCAAACAGAGCAGGAACCTGGAGGCAGGCACTGATGCAGAGGCCATGGAGGGGTGATCCTTACTGGATTGTGTCTCCTGGATTGCTCAGCCTGATATTTTTTATAGAACCCAGACCATCAGCCCAGGGATGGCATCACCCACAATGGTCTGGGCCCTTCCCCATCAATCACTAATTAAAAAAATGCCTTACAGGCTCGTCTGCTTACAACCCGGTCTTCTGGAGATATTTACTCAACTGAGGATCCCTTCTCTTAGACGACCATAATTTGTGTCATGTTGACATAAAACTAGCCAGCACAGTGGCTGAGTAAGGAAGTGCATCCAAGAGCGACAATCTCTGCATGGGTCAGTTGTACCTGGTGGTTGATTTGATAGAGCATCCTTGGTCAGTGAAACTTGGCCATATGACACTGTTACTGCTACACCACTTTTGGGTACACTCCACCTACAACTGCTGCTGCTTCTACTCAGATTCACCCTAAGGAAGGACATCATATTCTGTCTTTGCTGCTGCCCACCCACAAGCTACACATATTCAGGATGCTCTAGGTGCATGTTACCCTTGCAGTGTTTCTCATCATTTTTAGATATTCCTAGCAATTGGGTTTTCTTGCAGAACCCTAGTCTGACAGGAAGGGGTTCCTTGAACTTCACCTGTAGATCTACCAAAAGAGAAGGAAATTGAAAAAGGAACATTGCTGTGGAGCCTAAATGGGAATACACTAGGCCCTCTGCATGGCAAGACAGCTGTGTAGCTTGATCTGCTTGGGAGGCCCCCTGGCAGTAGGATCAGAATCCATCCCTGGTACATGAGTGGGCTTTGTGGAGCCCACTACCTATGATGGGACACCTCGTGCACCAGGCCTTGTCTTCTTGTAGGTGGGAGTGGGGGTGGTTTGGGAGGGGGAGCTTAGGGGGCAGGAGGAGGGAAGAGGGAGGAAATAAAAAAATTAAAATTAAATTAAAAAAGAAAGAAAAAGGAACAAAGGAGAGATAGAAAGAAGAAACAAGGAGAAAGGAAAAAGAGATGAAGGCAAATGGAGAGGGGGTGCTCTGGGATGGTTTTTCTATACACTGTGAATATGTGTTGCTCTCATTGGTTAATAATAAAACAGTTTGGCCAATGGTGAGGCAAGATGAGTTTAGGCAGCATAATCAAACTAAGGAAGAGAAGAGAAGGGCAGAGTCAGGAGACCCAAGGAGCAAGATGCCAAAGGACTGGTAAACCACAGGCCATGTGATGATGAATAAATAAATAGAAATAGGTTAATTTAAATGTAAGAGTGTGTTAGTAATAATCCTGAGCCATTGGCCAAGCATTTATGCTGTGGATATTGCTCTATATAAATAAAACACTGATGGCCAGTGAACAGGCAAGAAATAGGTTGCCAGGCAGGAAGTAGGTGGGACAAGGAGAGAGGAGAATTCTGGGAAGCAGAAGGCTGAGGAGAGAGACACTGCAGCCACCGCCAGGAGAAGCAGCATGT